CGGAGTTTCACCAACTCATCAGGAGTATATATATATATATATATCGTCACAAATAGAACTGCCCGGTAAACCGTAGGCAGAGAGAGAGAAGAGGACAACAAACGAGGGGCTGTGACAAACTGTTTCGTCGGAGTTTCACGCCTAACAGAGCACAAAACGTCCACATTGAATCACTGCCCACAAATAGATCGGAGCACCCGGCCAGCCTACTAGGAGGGTCTGCTCGTACCCCTTCCCCCCCCCCCCCCCCCCCCCAACCCCAAGTAGGACAGGTGGTGTTAAAAATAAAAAATAAAATAAAAAAGGGTCAACATTGACAGCATTGCGTAAAAAGTCTACTGAACAATGACGTACGATATGAATCTGCTGCCAACTCCCTTCTACAAGGGCGTAGTTTTAGTATTTGAACGAAGACGGACGTCCCTAGAAAACCAGACCGAGTAGCGTGAGGAGGTGGTCTGATGCATAGCTTCACGCTGTGCTGTTCTTCACAATGTAATGATGACAGTGTGATATTAAACCGCCAGTACCTTTCCCAGGCAAAAAGAAATTGCCCGCCGTTTAACACCGAGGCCGGTCCTGGGCACGACCGCCGGCCAGATCCATCTCAATTGCTCGGCGTGCAGGGCCTGCGGCCAACACCTGGGAAAGGTACTGGCAGTTCGAACCTCTGATTACATTGTTACTTGAGTTTCATCATCTCTCCATGTTTGTTTGTTTTTTTTGTCACAACTATGAATTCCGAAACGAGAGAGCATCTGCCATATGCCTGGAGTGCAGAGCACACAGCTTGATGTAGGAGAGCCTCTCTCCAATTACAATTAATCATCACACAAAATTGTTATGCACAAAAAAAAAAAAAAAAAAGTTAGGCAGCAAAAATCAAATGAAAACAGTACAATCATCACAGAACGGCAGCAATAGGGAGAAGAAAGGGAGACAACAAAAGGGAAGAACGAAAGAGGCACGACGAAAGGAGGACCAAGATGAAGAAACTCAAAATTACGAGCTCAATGCGCATTGAACTCTCATGCATTAGCATTGATTCCGCAACGACTTCCTGCCACGCATCAAACCACAAGCGACAAAGAACTGATCGCACATCACACAAGATTTGGTGGAAAACCACACACACTACCATCTTCCGCCGAATAGAATGGCTGGCCATTATAGCTGCATCTGGCGAAACTTTCAGTCTATAGATGCAGCGACAAATTACGCGGGCATTCTATTCGTGTGCAGATGGTAGTGTGAGAGTGGCTATGTAATGGCCTTGACTGAGGGTTGGACGAGGAGGAGACTATGCAGTCCCAACCAAGCATGGCATTTTGGCGCTCAAGAGATAACAGTGACAGTATGGGTGTGGTGGGCACGACTCGGAAAGTCGAAATGGGGTTGGTTGCTTCCTCTTTTCCTCTTCGACGATTACGTTTCACTCGAGTGGGGTTTCGTGCGATGAAGGTCTAACTGCATGCATGTCGCGGAATTGACCGCACCATGGTCTGCATGGATAATAAATAGCAAATAAATAGTAAATAAATAGCAAATAAATACAGCAGATGGAAATTATTACTGGGTAACTCTCCGAAAACTGGTGTTACATTTTCTCGAAAAAATAAAATAAAATGGTGTTACTGGGATCCCGATACCCAGCAAGAATCTTTCACTTAGAAATGCTGCAACGCTGCAACATACACACATGGATGATGGACATAACGGGAAGAAAAATGAAAATACCCGTAGCAAAAAAGTTAAAAAAACCCTGTTTCCTACGGATGCAGCGAATACCTCACCGCGTGAAGTCCGATAGCATCCAAACGCATATCGACTTATCAATCCTAAGAGAGCATAGCATTACTCACACTTCCTTTTTTTCACCCGAATAGAACAGCCCGGTCCTTATGGCCGTATTTGGTGCATTTGTCAGCCTAGATACAGCGATAATGACCGGGCTTTCTATTCGGAGGAAGAAGGTAGGTGCTTATAATCACAGTATGATTGCTCTCATGCATATGTCACGCGGGCATCTCATGTCACAAGAGGCGAAAGGGGTACAAACCCATGGTCACAAACTCAGCGGTACAAACTCAAGGGTACAAACTCGGAGTTACGGAATCAAGGCGGGAGCAAAGAGAGTGTTGTAGATTTTCACCACAACAGCCCCTATTTCCCCCAGATGAGTAGATCCAAAATCGAAGCAGCGCTACCTCTCTTGCAGACAATTAAGCGCGCACTTGAGATGAGCCAAAATCCGACAACCCAACAATCAAAACAGTTTTTCCCCTACAGCAAGCAAGATGGAGCAGAATATAGATCCGTTGTAACCCCCTTTCTTCTTGACTATGTTTCTGTTGGCTTTCTATGCATGGGGTATCCGTTTTATTCGTTGTGTGTGTTTTCCAAATTTTCACCACAACAGAACAGCCCCTATTCCACCCAGATGAGCAGGATCCAAAATTGACACGTCTTTTTCAGTCCTATAGCGGACAATGAAAACACTTGGGTTGAGATAATCCTGCATGTGTGGATGCGTGGGTGTCCTCCAACAGCCCTCCTCCCCATCAACCAGCTGCTGTGTTCGCCGAGCAACTGACCAGATTCCAGCAGATCTGGAACAATTAGCAAGTTAGCAAGTTTTTCCAAACTGCTGCGAGAACGCTTACTCTCCACGCGACTTGTGTCATGGGCATCATCTTCCATTGACGCCCGCTTAGAGGACCGCACCTGCCTGCTAAATGTGCCGTCACACGCACCGGTATATCCCTACTACCCATGAATGTGACTTGTCTTTGTCAATGGGTCTGCGCCTGCTCAATGTGCCATCACGAGCACCGGTATCCCTACTATTAGCAAAGACTTCCAGACCGCAGCGACAACACTTACTCGGCAGATATCTTGTCATGGGCATCTTCCAACGATGCTCGCTAAAGAGTACTGCACCTGCTAAATGTGCCATCACCCGCATCGGTGCCCCAACTATCCCACGAACGTGACATGTAGGTGTCAGTGGGTCTGATGCATGCTGCGATGGTCACTCTATTCCCCACCGTCTTCCTTGCCCCAATGACACCCTCATCTTGCCCAGGCTTGCTCATCTTTCCTCTGCTGCAGTTCCTACCGCTGCTAACACTCTGGTTTCCTCTCGCACTGGCAACACCGACTATCGTCTGCACCCGAATAGAACGCCCGGTCATTATCGCTGCGTCTGGACCGGAAGTTGTGCCAAATACAGCTATAACGACTGGGCGTTCTATTCGAGTGAAGACGGTAGGGTTTCATCCCCTGCTCACACCAGTCTAGTTTACCCCCTAGAGTCCCTACCATAAAAAAACTTGAAAAAACAAAAATACAAAAAACTTGAAAAAAGTAGTTACCCCTACGATTTCCACCGGTGACCAGCCGGGACTGGTCTGACGGCCTGTGCAGAGAACACAACAGCCTTCAAGCACGTCGGTGGTGTTGATGAAGCTACTAGCTGCCAAAGAGGCTGTCGAGAAAGCACAAGATTGGGTGATACGGAGTGGCAGGCCAATATTTGGCCACTGCGGGGTCACGTTACTGTAATAATGACAACAAAAAGCCAGGCATGAGAGATCATTTTACGGCGGCTGCAACAACAAAAAGGGGCAGCCTGACCAACTGGCCTAGCTCAATTGGTACGCCCCCCCTGAACTGTCGAAAATTTGAAATAGAGCTCTCCGAGTTCAAATTCCACTGGAAGCAGATGAGTTACGTCCGCGAGAATGATAAAATAGTAAATAGTAAATAGTAAGTAAATAGTAAATAGTAAATACTGGAATTCTGAAAGTAA